GCTGAATCAACGTGATGGGATAATGGAGAGACACCAGCATTCCATACGTTGCTTGTGGCCATTGGAGTCATTGGACCGCAGCTGCTATTATCGTCCAACAATGGCATGTCTGCAAAAGCTATATCCTCTTATTTTCGGCGTTTATGGAATAATAGAGAGTCTAGATTTAGTTCTAGCTCGTCGAATGAGATGGCTCATTCTTGAATCTTAGACTCACTGTGATGCACAAGCGGTCTCGGACACGCCTCGTCGGTTATTTACTTAAGGAGTGCTAGGATGCTATCTGTCTTCCCAAACTCGGTATGATAAAGATAGGATGACAAGGCCTAAACGGCTCGTCCTAGTAGCTACGCCACTACGCCGCTTGCCTGCAGATATCATTCACAGTGTCGACTTCCAGCCACTGTTAATTCTCAAGCCTCCGCAATCTTTGCGTTCTCGAAACCGGGAAGCTTGATCTCTGCTTATATACTTTCCAGGTCTTTAACAATTTGAGACATCTGTAGAAAGGAACATACAACTTGCATCTGCAAAATAGTCAAAGCAGCGCGATGGTGGTGTCAAAATAGTCAGACTCTGACCATTGAACTCTAGCAACTAATACTCCTCCTCCACGAACTTCAAACATTTTGGTTTCTGGATACAAGCGAAAGCCGAGGTTGCTTCAAACTTGGGCTTGACATCGGAAGCCCTTCTCTTTCCTTTTCCACCCTTTCCAGCCCCTACAGCCTTTCCTCCGTTCCCAGGTTTGCCAGCCTTTCTTGCGTGCCTTGTCTCCGACCATGGTAAATGTAAGCTAGCTTTTCATTAGATTTCGAGTCTGAATAAAGATAAAGACAAAGAAGTGAATATTTACAGCAGCGCGGCACCGTTTTCCCGAGCGTTCGACTTGACAACCAAATGCCGAGGGTTGATACAAATAGTCTGTCCACATAGGTGGCTTACATCCAACCCCTCGAATAGACTGTCTTTGGCATTACTTCGATGGAAAGCAACAATGGCCAATCGGTGGCTATATAGCGTCTTTGCGTCCTTCTTCGCCACCCCTGAAAAGACCGGTTTCGTTTCAACGTACCCCTTTTTAACGTCGTACGTATGTTAGTATACACATACTTGTAGATGGCAAGTCGCATGAAGGGGATATACAGCTTTGGTCGGTCTCTTTTGGCAAAGTCTGCATCCATTTAGCGTCCCCTTTGCGGGCCCGTAAGAAGGTAAGGAATGGATGCACTGTGGTTTGAAGAACAAGGATAAGTACGGATGGCGATTATGGAAGCTCCTAAAGAAGTATACATTAGGATGGAGGTGAAGTCTCACTGCAGGACAGGACTTCACGATATCGTGCGATGAACGCGTCCGAAAGGGACGCGCTCAACATGCATCAACTTCCGTAATTCGATGTACAGAGTGTGCCATTGCCACATCAAGAAGCCGGCATTACGATGCTGGTAATCAGCTAGTAAGGGAAAGATGTATCGAAAGTAGGATGGACACGTATCCATAATATTCTTGCAAAATAATCGTTTTTGTAAGGTAGGATATGGACGCAGGGAGCTGGAAAAACGGTGTGAGCAATCCTACAATATCGAGACCCTGCTCAAGAAACCCTTTCTGCGTGTCAATAGGAGTAACCCAGGAACTGTAAACTTGAGCTTTTTGTCAACGTTGGTATCCGTAGTAGAGAGCCTATGCATGCAATCTTTTGGAGTCTAGCACTGTGAAGCTCGGAGAAGATGGCAGTACCAGGCTATGTCTATCGGCAGACAGGACGGTCTTCTGGATGGAAAACACGACGGTTCGGACGGAGCTGTGATCGGGCGCTGTCTACTCCGTGCCTTAGCATCTAGGCCCGGTCCCTTCCGGCCCCTACGAGAGCCTGCCAGGCCCCCATAAAAACTTCGTTCACAAAGAAAACTATTCCGTACGAATATCTAAAGGTACCTTGGGTATGGATACGAAAACAATATCTCGGTAATATCCTAAACCTATCGTTTCTGAACCTTATTTGACTACCGAATAGATGCTGCTTATTCTGATGGATGCTGCGTCTAAGTTGTGTCCCGGCTAACATGTTGTCAGTCTCCTTCAATACGACTTGCATCTTCAGGTTCAGATTCCTTGATCTCGGGACTCGGAGGTTGGGCCGCGATGGGCGGTCAGCCGAATAGTTTCAACTTAGATAATGAGGTGCTGGTTGGTGGATGTGTGGACTTGGTACCTATGTATTCGTACACCCCAGAGGCTTAGTCTAGGGTACCTGAGACAGGTGGGGGTCCGGGTCCTGACTCATCACGTGCAAAGAAGCTTGTTGGGGGGAATGGAAATTGCCGCCTTCCATGGTTTTCCCCCCCACGGGCAGTGAACCGTTGATTGGCAGGTCTGGATGGGCGGCATGGAAAACACAAAACACCTTGGCTACTCTGTCACAGGAGCAATTCCCGTTATTGTTCAGTGCATATGGGGCAGGCTGATCTGGGGTACGATTTAGATTCTCTTTGATTACGAAAGTAGCCGTGAGATTGTTCCTTGACGGGAATCGCCGGGACAGATGGCCCCGACCCGGCCATCGCTAACCTGAGGCTACCACTGAGATTCTTCCCAGCTGCCCACGTCCCGACTCCCAAGGTGGCAAGGTCCAACAGTCCAAGGATAGGGCTACTAAAACACTTCAAAAATTTTCACGATGCCCTCATTTAGGCTAGAGCGGGTCTACGATGCTCGTGTCAGACACGCTAAGATAGGGGACTCGGAACCCCGCGGTCTTTATCCTTTTCAATTAAGCTCAGACCTACCCTAGGGTGCTTCAATACCTGTGCCTCAAATCATGAGGGATTCAAACTCACTCGCGATTTGATGCTTCTCTCTGAACCCGTACCCCCCTGTGCTTCACACCGTCCATGAAGTATCGTCGAGCAGCACAATACTCGCTCGCAACCTCCGCGTAGTGAGGCGAGTTGCATGTCATGGGCCCCGTTGCGCATCCGCTGCCGCCCTCAGGCAGTCTTCCGCCTTTGCGCACCTTGAATCAGCTCACCGAAGCCGATATCGCCACCGTCCTACAGAACCTGTCTGTCATCTACTGCCCCTTGGCCGTGTCCGTCGGCTTTCAGCTCACCCCTGAGACACAAAAGCTCGCTCATCATGATTCATCTCTCGCTGACTCTGGCTACGTGTCGGAGACAGACGATGATCACGAAGAGATTGACGGCCTCGACCATCACATTGCCGCTCTCAAGGTCGACGTCTTTGAGCGCAATTGTGCCGAGCGCTGGTTGACTGGCTTCATCGCCAAAGCCGAGACTCTTTCTTGCTTCGAATCCCAGGACGCTTGTCAAAACGCACTGGACCAGGCTTCTTGCGTCCTCGAATCTTTCTTCGCCGCCCCACCAGATGATGATGCCTCGGCCGAGGAAGATCAGGATTACACGCGCGATTTCGCATTCCAACTCTCGCTCCCCAAACCACCATCAGCAAGTGTTCCAGTCGCCATTCGACTCAACGACAGGTTGGCGGGTACAAACTCGGCTGACCCGGACGACGTCGGTCTCCAGAGCTGGGGCGCCTCCATCATCCTGTCAGACATCATATGTGCCTCGCCAGAGCGCTTTGGTCTTTCCCAACCTCGACTGGGTATTTCGCCACGCATCATTGAACTCGGCGCCGGCACGGGACTTGTGAGTCTCATGCTCGGCAAAACACTGCCTCACTTGGGAGCATCTAGTCCGACCATCGTTGCAACTGATTATCACCCGGCTGTGCTTGAGAACTTGCGCGCGAATGTTGCCCTCAACTTCCCAACAGCCAAGCCCACTCACGTTCAGACCGCCAATCTCGACTGGGCAGCACCTGTCCTGGATGCACCCCTCCATGTTCCCGCCGACATCATCATCGCGACCGACGTCATCTACGCGCCGGAGCACGCTCTCTGGCTGCGTGACTGTGCGACTTGCCTACTCGCAGATTCTGGCGTGTTCTGGCTCCTTGTCACAGTGCGGCGCAACGGCCGCTTCAACGGCGTCAGCGACAGCGTCGAGTCTGCCTTCACGGCTAGTGACAGTCCCAAGCGGTCAGGCGGCAAGAGGCTCGCCATCCTGCAATCAGAGGAACTGCAGAAACGGTGCGGAGTGGGACGAGGAGATGAGAGTGGCTACAAGCTTCTCCAAATTGGCTGGACCTACGAATAGACGACCAAATAGATGGACCACAGGCGATCAGATGAAACACACGACATTCTTCACCAATAGACTATAGAGACTACATAGATAGATGATAAACGGACGAGACGAGCATCATAGACGCAGTCTGCACAGCGAGTGCAAACACATCAGCATACAAATCACAGATGTCCGTCCTCGCATAGAGTATAGATAGATTATTACATAGATATGCATACATCAACATTGACAAATCAGTTGCAGCTCACGTACGGAAGCTGGGCCGGCCTGAGGCTTCAGCGTGAATGCTCCGGACGAGGTAACCCAAGCTTGCCTGATTCTGCGGATCATCTCAATTTCAGTTGCATGCAACGATGCCTCTAGTCGAAATTGTTCTTCTCCGGGGCTGATGCCGTCACGCCGGTACCGCCGCGAGCAACGACCCCAGACCCATGCCGAACCAAACCAATTCTGACCCATGCACCAAAAGAAACATGCTAATTACCTGTACTACATGGAGAACTTCATTCTAAGAACGAGTACTCCGTATCCGTACCTGTCCATCACCCCGGACTGGGAGGGGAAATTCGCAGGGTGGCCGCAGCGATCGGTGCCAGCTAGAGGTGTCCACATCGGAGCCGGGCCCCCGGGCCCCCGGACCCAGAAAAAATATTGACGCAGTGCTACCTTACCTTACCTTACCAGACGCGAACGCGTCACACACGCGATAAACTCGTTGACAGCGCAACTTTCCCGCAGCATCCTGCTTGCTCTCCGATCACGAACCCGTTCTTTGCTTGTGTCTGCCCTCAATACTAGCATACAAATTCTTCTCCGCCCGTAATCATGCCTCGAGGTAGACCCTCGTCGAAGTATGCGAAGCAAGGTAAGAAGAATTTCCAACTGCCAAAGTCTCTCTGCCTAGCTCTCTCATAACTCCCCATGCGTTCCCAATCTCGTCCTATTGCGCCCTCATTGACGCCCAAAACCTTTGGCAGACATTCCCTATGACGCGATCAGCAAAATCGTGGCGCATACTCTTGATCCCGATACCGCGCTCGTGACCCTTACCGTTCTCGCCAAAGGCTCCCGCCTAGATGTTTCCGAATGGGATGTCCAGGAGCATCGACCGACTTTGCTATGCGACTACTGGGCCAGCTTTCCGGGCAAGACGCGCCAAGACGTTCTCGGAATCGGAGAGCTTTACCATCCCTTTCGTCTGCTACGCCACCGTCGTGTTCGGGGCCAATGGCAAGTACTGGTGCAATGGCTTGGGTATACGAGCGAGGGAGAGGATGTTTCTTGGGAGCCGGTCGTGAAAATGCGTGCCGATGCGCTGGACGTGTTGGCAGACTACTGTGGGTACGTAAATGATGAGAGTGTAAATGCTGCGTTACTTGGACCCATGGCACGAGGGGATGCAAATGGCGAGGTAGAGGGTCAGCCTCAAGTCACAACTCCTGCCGCCGCAAGACACTCAGCGAAGAGGAAGAGGGACAGTCTGGTCGAGCCGTCCGAAATTCCCAGCGAGAAACGACGACGCTGTAAGTCCTTCCTGTTCCCAACCAACGATAGTTGATCAATCCTTGGCTGACTCAAAGCATAGCATCCAGACATGATTCAACACCAACCACAAAAACTCACCTGCCCAGATCCTCGACGTCAGCATCCAAGCGAAAACAATCGAAACTCCCCCAAGACGACTCCCAGTCGCTGTCAACCCCCAGAGCAACTGTCTCGATCCAAAAGCAATCCAAGATATCGACCGATGATAGCAAGAATGCCGGTGCATCTCCTGCACCATCACAATCTCTGCCCCGGCGGAAGAGTACGCGAGGAGCCTCCATTGAGCCCGCAGCATCTCTCGACGCTGAGCGCCTGAGCCCTGCAGACGTCCCCCGCACAATGCTGTGGTTCATGGACGACTTCACTGTGGGCGATATGCAGAAGGTCTGCCGCTTCATCGACGAGCACTGCACGGGAAAATTACGTCTGCCTCTATACAGTGGTGGTGACTGGGACGGGAAGGCTGCTAGCGGCAGATGGGAGGATGTTTTCATGGTGAGCCCGCTTGGACGGTTGGGCAGGTATGACAATGAGGATGAGAAGGAAGAGTGATTGGGATCACTCTCTGGCAATGCCTGCAGAGGCAAGCAGTTTCCCGGCGTTTTGTAGCGACTGGAATGGCAATCAGTCCATATGTTAAGGAGGGCAGTGAGCACTCGCGTGTTGAGCAAGTCGCAGCCGCCTCAATCATTTTCAAGGAACAAAGTTGGCAGCGTAGAAAAGGATAAGCTAGCTGTTCGTTGACTGATAACGAAGTTTCTGGTGTTCACGATGACAAAGTACTAGAGCATCCTGTGCTCGGCAATTAGAAGATGAGCTGTTTGCCAAACGCGATGAACCAGATTTCCCCTTAAGTATGAACAGAGTAGCAGTGCGCTCAAGATCTACCAAACCTTTCAAATCTTCTGGCACAGCATTGAGCTTTCAGCATTTTGCTTGCGCTGGCATTCATGCGCCGCTTCACCTCCGCAGTGGCTGACGGCACAGTAAGGATTCCTTCACCAAGAACAGCAATGCGTACTAAGGATGGCATCAACCACGCCGTTGCGCCACCGTGCCAACTCGGACAAAGCAACTCTCTCTGAAGGGGTGCATCAGCGTATCCAGCTCACTGGGCGGTTAAAAGAGTTTTCTTCACCGGGGCTAGCGCTTGTTTGCCGACCGACCTTAACCGCCCTATGGGCTGACAAAAGATATCAAGGTTGACTTGTGTTGGTTTAAAGGATGCAAAACCCGGCTAGCCTGTGAATTTCTGAGCCAGAATTGGCTCTCAAAGCGGTATTTCTCCAGTGGCTGTTCACGGAATCGTGTCCTCTTTTTTTCCTGATGTACTTCTGGCGCCTTATTGAAGTATCTCCATTCTACTGAATAGCCTGACTTGACAAACACCTAAACCGACGTCTACATTTAAGTGATTTCTAATGAAACAACATGTTTTCTCGCTTCTTTTGTGGTGATACATTCACTCCAAACAGACAGTTCCCGCCAACGAGTATCGCGTGATTGAGGTAGCAACAGTAAGACCAAAATGATTGGATCTGGTTTGAGCTAGGTATAAATATGTTCTCGCGGTTTCCTCCTACCCAAGTTTCGAGCAAGGCCTTGCCAAAAATGAACTTTTATTGATTCATTCAGCTCCACAAAATTCCATTCATCTCAATCTACAAAATGACCGAAGTCGCCGCCTCGAAGAAATTTGCATTACTTGCCACGGGCGGCACCATCGGAACTGAGGCCAAAAACCCTGACGATGTAGATTACGGCTCTGTTGGACACGGTGAATATGTTACACTCGATCAACTCCGGAAGAATACCGGGATCGATGAAGTTGCACGAGAGCTCGACGTGGGCATCCAGCCTGAGGATTTTGAATCCATCGATAGTACTGCGGTCACCTCCAAAGTTTGGAACGATATTGGTCAAAGGTGCGAAAGTTTGTCTAGAAACAAAGATATCAAGGCCATAATCATCACCCATGGAACAGCAAGCCTTGAAGAGACTGCATTCACTCTGTCTATGGTTTTGAGACTGGGGACTCCAGTCATCATCACTGGGTCCATGAGCCCCTTGAACGGAACATCCTCAGATGCATCGGCCAATCTCATTGCCGCATTCCGCGTAGCTGCTTACATGTGCAAACATAAATACGAGGGGATTTTGGTGGTGTTGAACAACGAAATACATCTACCCCGTTTTGTCACGAAAACTCACACCCAGAATCATGACGCCTTCAAGTCACCAAATTTCAAATCCATCGGTCGTATTATAAAGGGCGAAGTCAAATTCGACGAGCTCATGCAGCCAAAGCTTCCTGCAAATCTTGGGTTCACTGTCCAAATGCTTGCTAACTCTCCGCGCGTCGACATAGTGTGCAGCTACGTGGGTGCTGATAGCGTGGGAATCAACGCGTATGTCAAGGCTGGAGCAAGGGGGATCATATCCATGGGTTTTGCGCCTGGACTAGGAACACCGGCAGAGAAAGATGGGCTTGATGTTGCCATAAAGGGTGGCTGTGTGGTGGTTCAGTCGGTACGAGTTCTATCTGGGAAGGTTACCGACAGCGAAGACCACAATAAGATGGGCATTATTGCTGGGAACAACCTCAGCCCCTGGATAGCGAGAATCGTTGTCCAACTTGCGATTAGTAAGAGCGATGAGACTAAATTGGATGTCAAGGACATACTCTGTGAGGCGTTCAGCAATCTTTAGTTTGCTTTCAGGAGATTCATGCCGAGCTACGAAATGGCACTCTTGGTCTCATGCTACACCTGGATCAAGAGGATTTCTTTTGGAACGAAGTCTTAATAGAGCAATCTGTTCGAGCCATAGTTAACGGGACAACCCGCAGTTACTCATTCTTATTGACTATATAAATATCACAGGGGCCATCAATTGACACTAATGTTCAATAATCACATGCGATTCTCCCATGCCAAGCAGGGGATGACAAGACTCGAGTATCAGAATCACGGTGCCTGACAGCCGAGGTGGCTAACAGAAGACAGATAGATATGGCGTATATCACACCTGTAAGTACATAACGTTGGAAACTTCGCAATGCTTTTGGCAACGATAACATTAGTGATGCCCAAGTCCTTGCCTACTTATGTGAGCTGACGTGACATTTTCCTCGACCTCATACCTTGACGTTATTCTTCTCTGATATCAAATCATACGCAAACATGCCGTAGTCGTGATTTGAGAATTTCATGTCCGAAGACTGTTCGTCCTCTTTGACTTCTGGCTCCACGTCTTTATGCCCATATACGGGGCTTTTCTCGGCATCTGTCGGCGGTTGCGGTGTCAATTGCTCATGATCTGTAGCCTCCCTCTCAGGATCGTGATACTCTGGCATTCCAGTCCTCATCTCTCTTCGTATAAGCTCAATCTCGATGACTATGCGGCCTTCGGGCTTCATTTTTTGGCGTAGGCTATCACCATCACAGTCAAAATATAATCCCCAAATGCCACTATCTTCCAAGACTGCGCAGAAGCCTTCCCATCCACAAAAGGTAAGCCTACGATCTTGTCGAGTACATTCCCACGGCCCAGTCACATTACCATCGGCAATGGCACGGTTGCCAAAGCGTACTTGATATGTGACGGGATCGACGAATATCCAATTCATGATAGGTGCCTCATGGGTAATAGTGCTCACTAGCCCCGAGAAGCGTGAGTCCGGGTAAGGAAGATAATAGCCCTCGAACGGGTGGCCGAAAGGAACATCATGAGCTGTGCCGGTGTCCACAAATAGCTGTTCAATTATTATTGGGTTCTGATTCGCAAGAAGATGGAGAAAGCTCACTCTATCGCCAGAAAGGACGACTTGACGTCCTTCGAGGTAAGGGCTGAATTGTGACGACTTGGGACAGTGCAATATAAGGTTGTTCTTTCGACTTCGATGCTCTTCTCGACGCGATCTGGCCATGGAAGCCTTAATGCCTTCAGAGGCGCCCACAGCAGTGGCGAAGCTGATGAGTAGTGAGAGAGCCATCTCCCTTTGCAATTGCTAAGGCTTTGTGGAAGAGAATAGTATTACTCAGAGCTCTGTGGACAGTTGAGAGATGGTTTGCAGCGAGATATCTAAGTCCACGTAACGAGGACATGAAGGATTTCGCCAGTGAGATGCGACTCTCCCCACTAGTGGTCCTAGCGATTTGTCTCTTTCACACGGGTGAGTGGATGACAAGGCAATCGGTTTGCCGCTCATTCCAGGCTGTTGAGGACAGCGTGGTAGCGATAGTCTCGGAAAATCATTCGATTCAACCCCAAAAGTCAGAATAATGCTTGGAGTGTTTCAGACTTCGAAACCTCGAAAGATCAGAAGAGACGTTAGAAAAAGGATTGGAGATCATCGGCTGATGCCTGTGGAGCTTCCTAGCAGCTTCTGACAGAAGACGGCATTCTATGCCTTTTGAAGAGATGTCAGATACAATGTCCATGCTGCAGATCTTCGATAGTGCCTGGTGGTCCCTGATTGATGTTGTTGAAACTCTCCGGCACAAGGACCCTGACCAGGGTCCGGTAGCTGCAGGACCCTTGTCAAAGCTCCCATGAAGACATCCTGAGACACAGGCGAACCCCAATGCAACCCACAAACGTTCTATCGACTCACCGACATCGTACCATGCGAACCATTTTTCAGATGTTCTGGAAACAAGAGTGCCATTCCGCATGAGCGAACCGCGCCGACCGACGCGTTCTGGCCAAGACCGACAAAACACGACGCAAGATACGATCCGAGCGGCTGGTTTCAACATCAGACGATGTCAGTTTGCTACCAAGTTGATCGCTGGTTCTGTAGCAAATATGATCCCAGAGGCATAGATGGGGAAGGAGGATAGCATCAAGTAATTATACCGGGCTCTGTCAGCCGAGTTCGGCATCGAAGCTTAAAGCTCACCATGCTCCCCCTCCACCATGGCCAACCAAGCCACATCTCAATCCAAATCACAGAGCACCACGTCAATCACTGAAAAGAAGCCAGCGGGAACAGGTTCCCCCATCGCCACAATATCAGCAAAATTTGACGCCCAACAGCAGCAACCACCACCTATTCCACGAAGGCCAAATCACGCGTCGCGATCCGCAAGCACCTCGTCAAAGCGGATATCTGCTGTCGCTGTCCCTATAGAACCCTCGGTCAAGCCACCCGAGGATTACTCTGCTGTGCCAGGAGCCCTCAGAAGATCCCTTTCTTTCAAGATCCCCATTCGAGTCGCAACCGACAACCTTTCACCAGCCAACCGCTCTCGTGCTCAGTCACTACCACAGGAACACCAATCTGACGATCCCAGCCATCAACGCCATAACCCAAAACGAGGCTCTCTTTCATCGATAGGGGAGAAACCGACCGCAGAGGCCCCGAAAGAACCGCAAGCCACCAGCCCAACACTTTCGATCAGATCACTTTCAGAGCAATTTCTGAAAGAACGTGGACTACTCAACTCCGAACCAGTAGACGAAACAAGCTCACCTGAGGAGCTCCAGCATTCATTGCAAGATCAAGTTGTCAGATATCTAACCACAATGTCTTCCCCGTAAGCTTCAACATTAGCTCCGTTTTGTTGGATTTGACGTCTAATCTTCACTGTCATCTAGAGCAAAGACCCCCGCGGAAGAGCAGTCTCGTGCGCCTGCCTATCCCACATCCTACCCACCAGCCAACACAGGGATGAGGGGAAACATGCCCGCACCAGGCCTCCCTGTCCCCATGCCCAACCTGTCTGGCACCGCAAATGGCCCTGTTGGTATGCCAATGATTTCTAATACGCGGCTCAAGTTTCCTCTTTTGCTAATACGACTTCAGGTAACCTGCTCAGAGGCCCTGTCGATGAGAACGGGAAGTTGACCAAAGCTGCTCTGATGGTTGGCATCAAGTTGGACCTAGAAGCTGAGGTTCACTTGACTGCCCGCGTCCGTGGTGACATCCTTGTTGGTTTATACTAAAGTGCCCGTGGTCTACAACGAGAAGCGCACTCACGAAAATTACAAAGAGTGGCCAGTCACGAGGAGCCTGACCGTTAAATGGTACAGAGCGACACGACATTGCGCTTTGAAACAAGTTACCCCTTGCTTCATAGGCTCATAAGTTGCCCCGAGTAAGTATGGCTCGGATTTGGAACCGATAAAATAGGAAATGGGAGTCATTGCATTTTCTTTGAACAGCAAAGACTGTTCAAATTAGGTCTACGGGGGGACGATCCTTTCCAGCGACAAATATCGAAGTTTAGCAGTCTTCAAGCATAAATGTTAAATTGACCGAGCATTGATCATGGGAACACATGTGTCCAGATCGAACACATATGAAGGTATAGCCTTAAATGCTGTCTTTGACAACCTTGCCTGGGGGCATAGAATGAACCCCTTTGGGCGCCTTTGACAGCTTCGTAAGCTGTGCCGAAGGCTAAACAACTTCGCCCAACATTTTCCATCAGTGATCCTGTCTTTTACTCGTCTCGCTGAGATTTAACGATTTAACTCAGTCGTCCGTCATCCGTTTCCAGAAGAATGACTAGAATGAAAGTTGAGTCATCTGCTTCTTACTTCTGAAGCACAAAATTCCAGCACCGCATGTGGTGACTAAGGTACTCAGTGACCTGCATGTTGTTTCGGAGTATCCACCATGATCTGGCGCTGTTTTGCCCATTCAACAATGCGATCATACTTGGGACACCTATGCTGGGAGTTGAAGTCTGGCTGAATGCCCCGAGAGCCATTTGTGTGTAAGAACGGGGTTACATCAGCCGAGCACTGCAGTCGTATACGCAATGCCTAGATACAATGATCAACATGCTGTAGAAGTCAGCTTCGGGAGCAAACCAGTAAATTAGTCCAGTCAAGTCACTCAATGCAAAGTTTTGGACTTGTAGAACGCTTACGGCAAGGACAAGATCCTCTCCACCGTGAAAGGCCGGATCGTCGCTATAATCGAATTCGAATCTGTGCACAAACTGACGTACGAGATTCAAGCAATGAAGGTTGTGGAAAACCTCGAGGCCAGCCAAAAGATAGCCTGGCTTTGTGCGTGTCCAGGAGTCACCGTCGGTGCCATGCGATGTCTTGTTCAATGCTGGTAAGTATTCATCCGATAAGTCAAATGATCCATCTAATACCAATCTGGATCAGTAGCTGTCATGAAAATAAACTAGGGCTCGTTCGTGCAACTTACAATACCACAGATCCTTCCATTTTGCTTCCAAATCTGGAGTCGGCCTTCCCTTATAAGGGCTAGTCTTCCAGAATGCATTGTCAAACTGCACATCTTCGTATTCCAAAATATCTTGGACGGGTGCTGTGTATCTCATGAGTCTGGGACTCTATCAATAGTTTTCAAGAGATGTGATGCTGGACTCACACAAAACATGAAGCGTTCTGGCGCACTCCAAATCCGATGGTCCAGCTGGGTTGAGGTGGAGCCAAGTCGAGAGCCCAAGAAATACACAGCTTATCCAAAAGAAAGGAAAAGAGACGTTTTCGAATGAAGTTTTGCTTTTTAGCGGGCAGTTGCATGTTATCACCATCCAAGAAGAATGCTTCTTCCGCTTGGAGGTCTCCTCCGTCGCGAGACTGTCCTGTCTCACTGAACACCATGGCGCCGATTTTCAAGAAGAGTGACAATTAAAATGTGAAGAAATTGCAGATATCAACTGTCAGGATGCTCTCTTAAACCCTATAGTTGTTCGAATTCCGAGAGCTGACCGTTAGTTAGTTTTCAGGGATATGAAGCAACAGACGAGGGGCTCCTTGCAAATATTACTCGCCATCGGACAGGGTGGATGTCCCTATCTCTGAGACAAGGGGAATTCATGATAAGGAAGACATCATTCAGGCCGGACTGTTGCACAGGATAGCAATGAGTCAGTCTTCGACACCGACTAATCGACCATCTGTATTCGTCTAGTCAATCGACTCCAGAAAGCTTATTGTCTCCCATCGACACGACTTTGTCTGTTCAGATACGCAGCTGACCAGGTTTCCTTGAAACTGCGCAGCAGCCAACGCGGGTCCAAAAAGCTTGTTGCTCTAGAAAAAGCATCCAGATGAACCAGTCTCGACTACCAAGCCAACTACCAAGGTCAGCATCGACCCCAATTCCTACATTCTGTGCAAGTAATGTATTTCGCTTATGTCTATCCAAGTTGCCGGCTCAATGTGCTGCACTGAGTCACTTGAGACTTCTCTGTGCAGCTCAGTCCATCACCGAGCTTCGCAGGTCGGCAGGCACCAAAGTCAACGTGGCTACTCTATTTCCGTCGACTGCTCAGATTAAGTTCATTTGCGAGCTCACCACCGTTCTGATCCTTGTAGGCTCCGCAGCAGAAGTTCCAACTCATGTGGGATACCCGATGTCGAGGTACGTGAAGCAATCAGTCACTTCACACCATGTGCCAGATTGACGTGGATAGTCAGAGAAGCTTCCATGTACGATGGTGTGGATGAAGCTTACGCCTTCTCATGCCTGGATTAGCTGCAGTGAGGACGTGATGGACATCGCGTTCATACCAAGGCTTGGCTCGTTACTTGAGATAAGTGCGCCAATAGTAGCAGGTTGAATTCACTGTTGTTCACCTTATGGAAACGGCTATTTAAAGGCACTGAGTTTCCATTTCTAAAGAGTTTCGTCAAAGAATCAACTTCAATTCCCCCCCTCAAACAGAGACAACATGAGAATTTCCAACGTTTTGCTCCTCGGAGGAGCCTCTTTGATTGTTGCTGCCCCTGCCGGTGCTGTGAACGAAGGGACACGCGGAGCCAGCATTTCTTTCCCGAGTCTACGCATTACAAGAAATCTCCCAACGCTGCTGCAGAGCCTGCAGCTGAGCCTACGATCGAAATTCTGGAATCGGTCCATTACTAAGTGACAAGGGACGTACAACATACCAAGTCTGTTCGCTGTGGGTAAGTCGGATCATGTTTGCAACTAAATGCAAGGAATTTAGCTAATTGACCCTATGATCAGGTTGTGAAGTATCCCTCAGGCTCTCAAAGTGGAAGCATTATCTGGAAGGATTGTCAAGCGACTTTTGTCGAAATTTTCTCCAGTCTATTTGTCTGCCTAGTAAACGTCACATGAGGTGGGAAGGGTCTCAAGGCCCGCCGCCGATGACAAGAATAGTATTTACATTCTGCTTGAGTAACAGGTACCTTGCTTGCAATACTACGAGTATCCTTAAGTCTTCGCATCTCTATTTAGAGATTAAACTAGCCCCTCCAGGGCGAAATATTCCTCAACTGGCACGAACATTTTTAAATAATTCACCACTCTCACGATCGAAATGACCCAATTGCTCGTAGTCAATCGCGCCTTGAAGGATGTAGATTAAAGTTGATAGTGTTACGGTCAGTGGTTACATGAGCATCATCACAAGCCACAATGACACACAGATAGAACAATCATACATGTACTCTTGATGAACATCTGGGCAGGTGGTGGTATTACAACACAATGCGTAGATACCTCCACCAGTCATATTGAGGTAAGCGTTCATGATCAAGTGATGAAATTCAAATTTGGCACAATTACAGCGCCCGATCTACACTCTATAGAATCCTCTAGCCCTGAGATTTCTTGTGCGACAAACAGCATTGCACATCTTGGCGTGGAGGTCGAATACAAGGAGGGGTATGGTTGCAGAGATTCACAATCAAACAGCCGTGATCAGAGCAATAGATTGGGCCTGGGCAACCTTTCCGACTATTATTGTTGCTTGCGGTTTCATCGACTAGATGTGTAGGATTGAAACAAGCGGGATTGTCACATAAGTGTGACACGTGATCATTTGGGTTTCGCTTATGAAGTTGCGCGTAGGCGCCGATGTGAAGTAGGTACGCTCTCGAAGTTTTTCTGCCAGTGAGGCCTTTTTTCGCTTTGGCATTGCTCTTTGTCCATATCTATGATAGGGATACGATTAGGTAGTGTTTGAGACTAGGGCAGACTTCTCGGAAACTGACCTGAGCGTAACCATCTCGGGTGCGACATCCAGTTGGAATGTGACAACCAAGTTTTGTATCAGTTTTACATCTTTTGGTGCGTCTTTTGGCAACCAATGACTTAGCACAAGCCCAGCCAAGGTCGTCCATAATGTTTATGCGAGCTCGAGCCATCTTGAACGTGGTTCGAGAGAGAAGACTAAAGAAGAGAAGGATGTCTACTCCGTCATGGAAAGGAATATGTCCCCTTTTAAGGACGGGTAATCAACGAGCTTTACCAGTGGAGCAGGAGCATTCGTCACTTAACTTCATGTCGTGACCGATTAAATCCGCCTCCCGCAAGGCCCGCACGCGGGCCGACGAATGTACACCTCCCCCGGGGTTCTATACAGTAAGATACTATTTTACTGAGCCCGGGACAGTATTGGAATATCTAGACAAGGGAGATATGGAGGGGTGGGGGGAGGTGATCTCGGCTCTTCGCACATCGCCTGGGACGTCCCATAGACCATCAGATAACAATTGCTATTAAGTTTTTGATACGGCCTGTGTGATATCGTTCGGTGATGCTCATGCGATTAGCAACAGCGCGGAAACTTGTAATATTGATGTTTTATTAGGATTGACAAGATAACGTACCAAAAGTAGGGTCTTCACAAGCCCCAACATGGGTCATACCTAGAATCTATGTTATTAATTGACAACTTGCTTTTGATTGGGGTTCTTTGGTAGGCAATTCAATTTCACTCGTCTACGGCGGTCGCTGATGCACAAAAAGGCCTACTACACTTGAGGCGGAACCTACGCATGCACTGACGAACTGCAGCTTCGAAACATCAAAATACGACGGGTTAAGATATTGGATTACTATAATATTGGAATATCCCGTACTCTGATGCTCTAAGGCATAGTACTTCCGCTTTTTATTCCGTTGAATATCGTGGTGACTCGATTAAGGCAAGTTCTGGGGAGCGTAGCTTTGGTCGGGGTTTACCACCTGGCCGTTGACCAGCTGCTTGTCGGTGTAGGCGGGCCAGACAATAAGCTTCTGGTCCGTGACAGAGAAAGTTGTGAATCCCGCATCCGGACCGAACTGTCCGCTCCAGCCGGATGTAACGGTGAAAACTCCACATTTGGCGTTTGAGGCAGCACGGCTTGCAGGTGCGCCGGTAGTTGTGAACTTGCAGGCGGTGGGGTCTGCGATGTGAGTGTTGATGTTGAAGCTGTAGTCGCAAGAGGTATCCTCGGCATTGCAGGTACGGGTAAAGGCTTCAATGGTCCATTCCGCAACACCCGCCGCCATCATTGACTTGACCTCACGCTTCGTAACGGGGGAGCCGGAGACAGCAGTAGCAGCAGTCAGGGCGGTGAGGAAGAAGTTGGTGATCTGCATTGTGGTGAGGTCTTCAAAGGATTTGGATCGTATATGAAATTGATAGGAGAGTGATTGTTTAAATCTGTCTGCTTGTGCTGTTCAACGTAATGTCTTTGAGTTGATATATCGTCCGAAGTGGCGGCGGACGAGCGGATTTATACCAGTCAAGAGTCAAGGATGCATTAATACTGGAGACCAACATACAAATGGACACAGATCAGTGGTATGGCAACAAGCTCGTGGGTACTCAAATGATTGAGAAAGTGACGTTGCCATCGTATTCCCTCTCCCTGCGCCGATGGACCCTTGGACTCTCGCTTAGCTTAGTTCCCCGTCACTGCCTTCAGTCCCCATTTCATTATCCATCATGACAGCAGCTTAGTGCGGATGTGAACCAGCAATGTGTCACGGCCCAGCCAAAAAGTTTCTATGCGGTCATAATAACCTGCCTCCCGGGTCACTTTGATCACTCAAGGTAGTTGCCTATACTAGTTGCCTATACGCTTCGCGGTTCAGTTGGCTCAAGCCGTCTGTCATACGTGGCTTAGAAGCATACGCATCCGCTTGATAGTCCTTCCTTTAGCTCCCCTTCAGTGAGATGATGGCTCGTAAGACCGTTGCCCAATAAATCCTCCAATCCATCAGGGCAAGATTCTCGTATTCAGGGTCGCATGCATTCTCATTTCTGGGGCAATGGACTTGAATTCCAGGCACATGACGCAGGTTATGTAACCTCGATATTAATACGAGCTATCTGCCGGGGTTAATCAACCTAAACAAGGCACGACTCCACGTTCTAATCTGCTTTCGGAACTCCGATTGCCCCGAAACTTCATCGCCCCAGAAGCGTTCCGCCCCCGCTGATCTACCTTTATTTCGATTGATCATTCCTAGTGCTCCCATAATCCTATGTTTAGCCACATAGTTCTGACCAACGGTGTGTGATTGACGACGCCCATTGAGACCATAACTCTCCACCTGCCTTGCACTAAAACGCAACAGTGAACTAATCAGAACTTCTCCCTGCAGTCACCGACCGCCAAGCTGGAGTGCGGCATGCAGTTTGCAGTATGCCAAACTGATCGACGAAGCCAGTCTTGCAAACGGGCAGCGAAGACTTTGCTCTCTACTAGGCAGTTAGGTCTCAGTTTCGTTGATCTGCATGAGCTGACATTGAACTCTCCCTCGCAAGATCCTCGCATCCTGTAGGACTGTCCGACTGCGACATCGCTCCAGTCATCTCCAGGGTAAAGTACTAATGAGTATGAAAATCATAGTCGTAACGCTGTGAGCACATGGTGTGCAGACAGTCGGACTCATTGATGTACTTTCGCACATGTGACTCACATGGAATCCAATTTGAGTTGTATCGATACATGCAGCAAAGGACTTGATTGTTGGAATTTCTGAGCCTCTTGGAATGTGTGTGTGCTTCATTTGCGAGGATCTCTCACCGTATTGGAAGGCTCCCTGAAGATCCGAACATATAAAACGACGACCCCATCTATTGCCTTCTCAAAAACGACGAGGAAAGTCAAGAAACATTGTCTCTACTAAGACAATGACGACGATGCATTAAACCAGCACGACTTCTGACTGTCATTTCCAAAGAAAAAATGGATTTTACATGTTGAAAACGATACCCGCAGCTGAACACGGGGACGAAATGAATTCGCCAGCGCGTAGAAATTCACGTGAAGCAGAGTTTCCGCAAAACGCCAGAATCGCTTGATGTCCAACTTGGAAATATCGCGAGGGATGCATTTGTGCTTCATACTCTGTGCGTGTCTATATGAGATGGTAATCTACATTGGTATCGGCTACGAACTGGCAATCTTATTGAGTGGTGCCGATCCAGACTTACGACAATGGACATTGCCAATCACAATATGAGAGCCAGCCTGGAGTCGTTAACCCATCCAAGTCTTTCTCATGGATCTCTGACTACTTTGTTCTGTTCAATCATCTTAGGAAAGATTAGTAACAAGTGCAACTTTTAGCGAAGAGATGCCCACGTATGTATAGGTAAGCAGACCTGTGGCCTTTCAAGCCCACGTCAATCGATACGTATTCAGGGAAGTGCGTGGAACATTGCCTTTCCTATATACCTTAGGCTGCTTGAATTATTAATATTGAATAATACCTATTTTGAGGATGTTAGCGACCATTTCCAATGAAAAGAGGATACATCTACTTGTACTACCGTGTAGAGAAATAGTACCAAGGGAGCTTCTCTCATGTTCTTCTGTTACTTTGAACAAGTATATGATATCCCGAAGTTCTACCTAGATATGATCCCGGGTAGGTTTTAAAGCACAGTGCACTTAGAGGCTCGTCTCAGATTGACTACGGTCCCCTGTTGTTTTGGAAAGAGAGATTCGTCTTGCGTTACTTGATGTACTTGCGGTATCATGGTTTCACTTATTCAGAAGCCGGAAGTCATCATTCGCAAACTTAATGTTACTAGTTCTAGATCCACAATACGAGTGATGCTGGAAGGAGGCACACCGAGTCGCGGCATTACATACCTGCGTACTTCGTTGATCCACGTTCGAAACAGTAAAGTCTCGACTTAGACTTGTTCTCGCGGACGGCACAATACAGACCGTTCTCGGAGACTGCGAATTTCATCAGAGTACTGATACCTACAGCACGTAGAGAGTTAACCAAAGCTTCCTAACATTAATTACCAAACTGTTCTAGAGATCTATCCTAACCGCTTTCAACGTAAATCTCGAATCTAACTCATTTCCATCTGAAAGGCACTTCGAGATGTCTGATTGCTTTGGTCTGACCTTCTTATCATCACTGCTCTTGTTCATCGCTTAGGTCATCATATCACCTTAGCCGTAAACTGAGTTAGTCAATTGCCGTATCATTGTACAGCGCAAGTCTTCTAAGAAGAAAGGAGTATCATGAGGCAAAAATGTGAATGAATGTATTGTCCATGTTCCACCTGTATTTCCAGGATATCTTGTCTGCTGTGCCCATCATGCCATCCAGCTCCGGCCTTGATATCTTAGACGGATGGACGAGAACCGACAGGCATAGTCACTGCACAAGTGCGTGTGTGGAGTGGCAAAGTTTAGAACGACGAACTCGGGCATTTGAGCAGTTTTCTTCCTATTCCCACACCATTATGATCAATAGGTTAAAAGACTGCAATCTCAACACCTCGAGCCTTGGCAGCTTGCTCTATGTCAAATGTATCAGTCCCCTCCCTGAATGCTTCTTCTAGGACCTCGTCAACCATGTTTATGAGCCGAAATGAGTCTTTCCTCAAGAACGATGACCGCACATCGTCAAAAACCTGTTTCCACTCTGGATGAGTATTCAGAATGGGGACTTCGAGGCTGCCTATCACTAAAGGATACATAAGCCCGTTGTGAACCAAAAGGTGGTGGTTGGCAGGCATTTCAACTGCCCTGTATAATGCGTAAACCGATGCCGCCAAACGACACATTACTACTTCTCTTGACGGGAATGGTGTATTGTCACCGGATTGAGGTCCCGGCCGATTCTCATCATCCGATGGTGCCAATTTTCTTCTGGATCGGTTCAATCGCCTCACATGTAAGACGGCTGTGTACCGCCAGCAGTCCCAAAGCATGCATTGGGCATGCTCACCAATCTCTCCTGGCCAAGCCCAGAGCTGGGATTCTATGTCTCTCGCGCTGCTTTCTCTCATATCAGCGAGAATATCTAGTAGCGATCTGGGCAGTCCCGATACGGTCTCTACCCCACCGAGCCTACCGCCTTTCCAAGAATCTTGGACTTTTCGTAGGTGGCGCCAAACATTCATACTCGGTGTCATTCGCCCAATAACCATGATATCCATGTCCATGATAGACAAAACTTCGATGGAGTGCCGGATGGTGAAATCATGGTTGGCCGAGGGCACCAGATGACTTAAGTTCGTCTCTAAATGGTACAAGCCAGCCATGAGCTGAAGATACATCGTCCAAGGTCGAGCTTGAAGCAGCTACGTGAAGGCCGTGAGTTAGTAGTGGATATCATGTTTGAGACGTTTGCACACGCGTGATATGGGGAGCCAACTGGCATATGGTGAAGCTATGCTTCTTCGAGACTTACGCATAGACTACAGAGAAGAAGGCCAGCAGATACGGTGGATCCATCGAAGGAGTTGTGTCGGCTTTCTAATTCCGATCGGAAAGTTTGGAGGGCATGGTCGACGTATTCCATCGACGAGACTGAGAAACCATCGTCTAGGTAGGCTTGAATGGCCCCACAGACGATAGCAAATGCTTGGCTCTTCTCTGCCATTGAGGTGAAGTGAGACTTCATCCAACCAGAGCTCTCAGTGGTGTAGAGTCGGTGCATCCCCGCGTTGAGAACTTGTGACATGGTCAGTACTCGAGTACCTAGGTATACGTGACAGAGCCAAACGGCGAATGACTTACACTTCTGGAAAAGCTGCTGTTTCGGGTCATTAGTGCCGCCGGGCGATGCTGAGGGTGATCCAGTGTGGTGTAGTGGATCTTCAGCGTTCGGCAGATAGCTATCAAAAGTAGCTGAGTTGGCGTTTGCTTTGTTCGCGGCAAGGTCAGGGATTGCGGCCCCAGCAAACCGACCCCGCGAGGCTATCCCGTTGGTCCACTTGAGTGTGGTGTTGTAGCCCTCGCACTGGATGCCACGCCTTTGGCATGCTCGGCAATCTGGACGCGTCTCGTCGCATTTCCGTTTCCGCCTCTTACAATTGGAGCATCCTCCCCTAGAGCGACCCATCGGTGACCTACTGATGGCTGTCGGGTGAGGTCAGCGTAATTGTTATCTGTTCAAGCCTTGGAATTGACTGCTCAGCGGAGTTCTCGAAATGGCCGACCTTGCCGACGATGAATGAAGAATTGAGATTTCAACTTCCCAAGAAAGGCAGACGGGGCCGCGAGCGCATATATATGCCGAATATGGCATGGCTCAGACGCTCGATTCTGGGGTCCAAGCAATCATGTCGCAGGTTCATAAATGCGGGGGCGAGGCCGCTAAGACGAATAGAGTTC